GGTGTTCTTGGAGAATTCGAGATGTCTGCTTTGAACGTGAAAATCGACAAATTCACAGGGAGGAACAGTTTCAGTTTATGGCAGATCAAGATGCGGGCTTTGTTGAAACAGCAAGGCTTCTGGGCGCCGTTGTCGAAAGACAAGAACGCCGTCGTTACTCCTGAGATGGCGATTCTGGAGGAAAAGGCGCACTCGACGATCATGCTGTATCTCGCGGATGACGTCATCACGGAGGTCTCGGATGAAGAGACTGCTGCTGGTCTGTGGTTGAAGCTGGAGAGTTTGTACATGACAAAATCTCTAACCAACAAGCTGCTTATGAAACAACGTCTATTCGGTTTACGAATGGCTGAAGGTACACAACTCAGGGAACACTTAGAGCAATTGAATACTTTGTTATTAGAATTGCGTAATATCGATGTGAAGATCAAGGATGAAGATGCTGCCCTGATTCTGTTAGTATCTCTCCCAATGTCGTTTGAGAATTTTGTTCAATCGTTCATTGTTGGGAAAGATACTGTGTCACTGAAAGAAGTCAGATCGGCCCTTCATAGCAGGGAATTACGACATAAGGCTAACGGCACAAGTACGGACATACAGCCTTCCGGTCTGTTCACCAGTAGCGGAAAGGGAAGAAAAAACGGCGGAAAGAAAAAGCTGCTGATTATTCAAATCTGAAAGCTTTTGGTTGTACGGCTTACTATCACGTCAGTGAAGGTAAGTTAGAACCAAGAGCTAAAAAGGGAGTATTTGTGGGCTACGGAGATGGAGTGAAAGGTTTCAGAATCTGGTCTCCAGCAGAAAAGAGGGTTATTATGAGCAGGAACATTGTCTTTGATGAAAGTTCTCTGCTTAGAACCATTGTGAAGCCTACAACTACGTCAGAAACTGGGAGTCTTGACAAACAGGTGGAGTTTCAAGTCATTCAGAACGAGAGCGATTTAAAGGAACCTGAAGAGGAGGATCAAGAGCCACAGACAGAAACTGATATTCCAGAATCTATGCCATCAGATATCCATCAGAGTATAGCTCAAGATCGGCCAAGGAGGGTTGGAGTTCGGCCACCTACGAGGTATGGTTTTGAGGACATGGTGGGTTATGCACTGCAGGTTGCTGAAGAGGTAGATACATCTGAGCCGTCTACTTACAAAGAAGCCATTTTAAGTTCTGATTCTGAAAAATGGTTTGCCGCTATGGGAGATGAGATGGAGTCCCTACACAAGAATCAGACATGAGATCTGGTCATACAGCCTTCGGGGAGAAAGATTATTACTTGCAAATGGGTTTTCAAGAAGAAGGAAGGTATATCACCAGCAGAAGGAGTCAAGTATAAAGCCAAGGTTGTTGCCAGAGGTTTCAACCAAAGAGAGGGAGTGGACTACAATGAGATCTTCTCACCAGTGGTCAGACATACTTCCATCCGAGTGTTACTAGCGATAGTTGCACATCAGAATCTGGAGCTTGAACAACTTGATGTGAAGACAGCGTTTCTACATGGAGAGTTGGAGGAAGAGATATACATGACTCTGCCGGATGGTTTCCAAGTTCCAGGGAAGGAAAATCACGTCTGCAAGTTGAAGAAGTCCTTATATGGACTTAAGCAGTCTCCAAGGCAGTGGTATAAAAGGTTTGACAGTTATATGGTGAAGTTGGGCTATACTCGGAGCTCATATGATTGTTGTGTCTACTACAATAGGCTCAAAGATGATTCATTCATCTATCTGGTGCTTTATGTAGATGATATGTTGATAGCTGCAAAGAAGAAGTATGACATTCAGAAGCTGAAGGGTTTACTTAGTGCTGAGTTTGAGATGAAGGATCTGGGAGACGCTCGGAAGATTTTAGGGATAGAGATCATTAGAGACAGAGAGAGAAGGAAACTTTTCTTGTCACAGAGAAGTTACATTCAGAAGGTCTTGGCGAGGTTTGGCATGTCTTCATCTAAGCCCATTGATACCCCCAGTGCTGCCAATATCCATCTCACTGCCATGTTCGCTCCACAGTCAGAAGAAGAGAAGGAGTACATGTCACGAGTCCCTTATGCCAGTGCCGTAGGAAGTTTGATGTATGCTATGGTCTGTACAAGGCCAGATTTAGCACATGCAGTCAGTGTAGTGAGCAGATTCATGGGACAACCAGGGAGAGAACATTGGCAGGCTGTGAAGAGAATTTTCCGGTACCTTAGAGGTACATCTGACGTTGGTCTCATTTATGGAGGTGATACTCAGTGCTTGGTTACTGGCTATTCTGATTCAGACTATGCTGGAGATGTTGACACAAGAAGATCGATGACTGGCTATGTGTTTACCCTTGGAGGATCTGTCGTCAGTTGGAAGGCAACTTTGCAACCTACAGTGACTTTGTCTACTACGGAAGCGGAGTACATGGCCTTGACAGAGGCTGCAAAAGAAGGGATTTGGTTGAAAGGGCTGGTTAGTGATCTTGGTCTGCATCATGATCAGGCTACGGTGTATTGTGACAGTTTGAGCGCAATTTGTCTAGCCAAGGATCAAGTCCATCATGAGAGAACCAAGCATATTGACGTAAGGTATCATTTTCTGAGAAGTGAGAAGAGAATCAAGGTGAAGAAAGTTAGGAACTGCTGATAATCCTGCTGATATGTTCACAAAGTCGGTTCCACAGAGCAAGTTTCAACACTGTTTGGACTTGCTCAACATCAGAAGCTGTTAATTGCCCTGCGGGGCAACTCTGAGGAAGAGGGGGAGGCCTGGCACTATCATAGTGCGTCTGAAGAATCTGTTCGGAGAATTCAAGTCAAGGTGGAGATTTGTTGAATGCCTTGAATCGGACCCGCTACGGCAAACCCTATTTTGTAATTCTGTTTTTGCCTCTCCATAATAAAACTGCTCCCTCTCTTCCCGTAGACGTAGCCAATTTATTGGTGAACCACGTAAATCTGTTGTCTTGTTTTTCGCGTTTATATTTTCTCGTATTATCTCAAATTCCGCACAACAGTAAAGATATTCTTGATGTAAAATTCGAAAATTCAAACGAGACCTGCAACAAAAATGCTGACCACAATCACAACCTCCTGCCATTTTCCAGCCATAACAGATAATTCAGCAATGCCTACAGCTAGTCCTGCGGCAGACAATGTCCCCAAAGCCCTGTTGAATCCTTTGTTGAGTGTCGCACCTAGCATTTTTTGTAAATCAATCAGATTATGTATATCAGCTACGGAGACTCAAATAGTAACATACATTAATGTAAAAGAACAATAGACGGTTAAAGTGTCACATCAACTTCATGATAACTGTTTACTGCCCTGCGTAAACATGAGCTATATATTAACCATGCCTCAATCCCAAAACCAGTTAGGACTAACAGGACTAAATAATTAAATACGAGTACATATTAATCAATACAAATCCGCTTTCTCAATCCCAAGTAGTTCAGGTTGGCCATAAGTATCATCATTTGGTTCTATTTAGGCTCATTTGCCTTTTACTACTTGAACACTAATTCTCATTTTTATTCAAATAGTGAATCATTGGAATATGAAATAAAATTTGAATATACCTATGCTGAACTCGAATACGACGACAACAGTGAGGATGGCCCAAATGGAATATGTACCAATATAGGATAAGGGCTCTTTGAAGAAAATGACAACCGAAACAAGGGAAAGAGTTAAACCCATTTTAACAGCAAAAATGACCTTTCGAGGATCCTTACGACCCATATCAATTGCCTTGATATAGCCCTGTTTAACATTACTACCTGATTTCTTAATTCTATTACATAATCGACGCCAAAATCCTTCGGGTTCGACGTAAAATGATGGATCCAATCCATACTCTGAATATTTGGGAATCAATCTCTCTTTGCTCGTTTCGTTAAAGTTTTGGCTCAATGGCGCCGCCATTTTGTTATGTGAGATGAACTACCATAGAAGCAACAAGATTAATTTTTCTTTTAGGAATCAGGTCGATTTCCGAAATGTGGATTCGTCAATATCCAGGCTATTCACGAAACAATCATTAATTTGATGGAAAAATTTTGCATGATTTTTTAAAAGAGAGAATGATATTAGCAATGTCATATCTATCCATAAAATAGCGAAATAGAAACTTTCTAACTTAATACTCGGTAAATTAGTAAACTTTCTCAGATAATCTTTTCTCTCCTCCATTTGTGCTACGGGAAAGGATCGTTGATTTCGATAATATAATAAGATATACTCCCTCTATTTTAAAAAAAGTTGTCTCATCTCTTTTTTAGTTTGTTTAAGAAAAATAATCTTTTTTCTTTATTTTGATAAAATTTTAACTTTAATTTTTTACATGACATATTTAAGGTCACAAAATTAAATGATATTTTAATACATTTGACATAAATTTAATTTACGATCACAAGGTTACACGGTTCCAAGTCAAATTAGAACATTATTTTTGAAACGAAGTGAGTACAAATATAAGTTAATAATTCTTTAAAATTAGAAAAATATTCAAAACAATTTAATGAAATATAATTCTTGTGTTTTTTTTTATAAATAATTCAAAAGTCCATATCAGAAAAAATGCATAAGTAGCCCCTAATTTATGTCCGAAATCTCAGAGACAGACTTGACTATACTAAAGTCCTATTACCTCTGAACTTATTTTATAAATAATTTTTTACCCCTTTTCGACTACGTGACTTAGCTTTAAAAAAATATCAACACGCGCTGGAACCACAAGATAGCACCACGTAAACTGTAAAGAAGTAAAAAATTATTTAAAAAATAAATTCAGGGGTAATAGAATTTTAATATAGTATAAATATTTCTCTAAGATTTTGAATATAGGTTGGTGATATTTTTATATTTTCCCTTGTTTTTATTACATCCATAATTCTCTATACAAAAAAAATTATGAAGATCTCTAAAATGCAATAAATGTTTTTTTACGCATAACTGATTCTAAAGTTATTATATTATGTTCAACTTCATCATCAACATTGTTTTCTCTAAATAGAAATAAACCTCTAAAATAATAATATTTAACGATAACAACAATATTAATAAGAGAGATTTTACATGTCCTTAGTTGATCATTGAGATTATTGTTGTTGCGGGATAAACTAAAACAATTCAAATATAAATATGCTAAATCTCATTAGCATATATATGTTCTTTTTCAATTCTCTTATCTGAATATTTGACACCGCCTCTACTTGTATACAAGCTCTTCTGTCAATATTTTCTGATTGAAAACATCCAAATCAGCTGTGGGCGCTTCTGTGCTCTGTTCTTTAAAGACTAGAGCATGTTATTATTAGAACAACAAAAAGGATTTGCAATTTGAGGGAATCGCTCTTAGAGCGCATTCGTCTGTTCCACTCGTATAGGCATTGAATGACTTCATATCTTCAGTAACCTTAACAAGATCTACAGATGGCTTGTCACGCACAACAGGCATGTAGGCATCAACTTGTGTTGCTGTAGCCAATTCCTCGGGGGCACACTCACCAACCTGAATGCAGTTGCAACAATTAGGAAACAAACAGGGAAAACATTTCAAGTATACACATTTATGCTTCCAGTTACTAGCTACTACCTATCTTACCTTTGATTAAGACAACTAATAAACTAGGCCCTGTAGGTCCTCAAGACATCAGCTTGAAGCTCCTCAGGTGAACGATTCCTGCAACAATGATCAACAACAATACCAATTGTTGATGCCAGTTTCTTAGGGATATGCCTGCAGCCTGGCAGTTCGCACTCAGAACATGCTCATCTCACAGTTAATTTTATGGGAAATTAGGCCATAAAACTCAATCAAACATACCTGAAGTTCCTCGAGAAAAATCCTCTACCAGACCTAACTTTCATGTTGTATTTGAGTGTCTGACCATGGATAACAGGGTGGAGAGCTCCAACAGTTGTTGGGGGATCTTCACAGCCATCTCTTGCCTTGCTGCAATTGGATTAAACAAAAAATAGTCAGAAATCTGTTCGCCATGCTGCGTAAATGACAGCAAAATTAAAACAAGAACCAGAATTATATACCAATTCTTCTCATCTGCTTGTGCGCTGTTTGATTGAACCAGGTCTTCACACGGATATCAGTCTGCTTCTTGAAGTGCCCATTAGGGATAACATTGTTATGCTTCATGTCTCAACTACATTGTTCAATAAGAGTTGTAATTGACTGTGACTTAACAAGAATCGTTACAGTATATATAACGTTACGTGTGTGTATAGTAAAATGCATGGACAAGCCTTAAAGAGAATATGAGAAAATCAATTGACAACAAACATCAAAATATACATTTTTTTTAATAAGCAAGGTGTCTAAGCCAGCTTGGGTGCACGTATACTAATTCATGTTTTTATTCGACACCCTTCCACCCGCTACCTGTGGTTGATGAGAGCTTACCAGGAAGTAGCTTTCACCATGCTGCAAACTCTGAACAACAAAACCATATTCATTAACTGGGAGTGGCACCCCAGAGGAATGATACAAGACTAAGTCTTCGGGGCCAAACATAGCCTTCATGTCAAGTGGCCCTCTGGGCACCTGTGCTGCTACTCCATTAATAAAAACTGTGATAAACCCTGTAACAGTATGACAGTCATAAACATGTGCTGAAACATAACTGAATAGCAAAACAGTATGCAGTTACACTACTTCGGATTTAATTAGTGAAAAAGAAGAATTAATGAGCAGAAGATCAAACGCAAGAGCAGAGAAAGAAGCTACAGTATGAATTACTGGGCGTACAGTAACGAGAAACAAATAGAATAACACAATTTTCCCAGTGAATATAATCTTCCCTGCATGCCTACTGTCGTATTACGAATATCACTCTCCTTCCAGTTGGTGCATATGCTGAGTTCGTTATGTATATAACTAACTCGATCCTAGCCTAAATTTGATAAATATGTCTTCAACTTGATCATTCTACTTCACAAATCTCGTAACAATATCTTCTATTAATTCTCATAGTGTTTATCAAATTCAAACATGAACAAACTAAGCTAAAGTAACATCAACAACAATAATCCTAGCTATAACTTGTAATTAATTTAAAACAATGTTTTCATAAATGATCTTTAGAACCTGAGGAAGAGCAATTCAAGTTAGAATTGTCTGTCGGTGAGCACAAAATTGAGGTGATTGAAGAGTTTTGATCAATTCCCATTGGACCCGAAAAGAGGAAGAGGCCATCATTTGCATTTCCCACAACACCTCCAAGCGAAGAAGAAGAAGAAGAAACAGAGGAGGGGACAAAATTAGTCTGAAATTGAATTGCACCGCCATCACTAGACCTTGCAGATTGTTCTTCATTACTGTTACTAACAGCACTAAGACTCGCCTGAATTTGTCTTTGACGACGGCGAGACCTTGACCGCCGATTCTGAAACCAGTAAAACACATTTGCATCTCCAACCGCCCCAAATTGCTCCAACATTTTCCTGATTCTAACTGTCTCGTCTTTTCGAGGATTTACCATCCCACTATTAAAAATGGATTCAAGTATTACGATTTGTTCCGGCTTCGGATTCCACCTTGATCTCACTGTTTCATTTCTTTCACAAGACTGACTTGACGAGCTAGAGTCATCATCCATGGCGGAGTGAAAAAGATAAAACTCAAGAATGACATCAAAAAAGGGAATTATCATTTGGGTATATAAAGAATAAAGGGAATATTAGATAAAATTACTGTGCTGTCCTTTTCAAGTCTAGATCTGTTTTCAGTTCAATTGCAAAGGTGTGTGTATTCCTACATTTTTTCGGCGTCGAGTTTTATTGGAATAAAGAGTTAGATTTGTCTTGAGATTCGGAATGTTTCCTTCCTAAGGGGGAATGGTTAATAATTAGTTCACGGGAACAATTTTGTATTTAATAATACCACCGTCCCATACTCCGCCCTTCCATCTAATAATACCTTTTAATATTACATGTTCATTAAAAAAAATTATTTTTACTATATAATATAATAAATATAATGTCTTGAAAAAAAATACATCTTTCATCTTATTTTATTTGTCATATTTTTACTTTCCAATTACATTAAGAAATAATATAATTTTACTTTTTTATCCTTGTTTAGTTATCTGGAACTCAAGATTTCAATCAATAAATATATATTGACTAATTTTAATTAATTTAAATAATGAAAACATAAATTATTTACTTAATTTTTCCAAGTTAGTCGAATTTATATTTTCAAGGCTAATCACTCACAAAGATAAAAAGGAAAGAATGTGATAATTTATGTATTGATTTTATGAAATGACAAGTATTATGAATCTGCTAGTCATAGAAAGATTTGAAATATAAAATTGGAGGAAGGAAGAAATAGATAAATAACTATAATTAATGATAAAAATAAATTAAAAACTAAGTATAAAATTATCCACTGATTTTCTAGAATATAGACAATTAGTGTTGGACAGAGCAGTAGTCTTGCTAAAAATAATTGTCTCCTATTTATGTTACTAAATCAAGACAACACTAATTACATCTTTCTTAATATTTCAATTTATTTGTCCATATCTTTTTTTAGTTATCCTTAATTATTTGTCTATTTTGACAAATAAAAAAAAAACATTTTTTTTACCTACTATATTCTCAAGTAATTACCTTGAAAAAGGTAAAACTTCTTTAAAATATTTAATTTTTAATTATTCACTTTATGATTAATAGGGGTAAAATTATAAATCCACTATGTCAATTATTAATTTTTTAATAGATGTATCAATTTAAAAGTGTACAAGTAATTAAGAATCGAGAGAGTATATTATCTTTGTAATTAATTCCTTTTGAAAACATTTACATTCATTTGTATAAATCCACTGAAAGGTTTCAAGACGCGAAGTAGTAAAATAATCTACATATTTATGATTTCTTAATATTCATGGACAGATAAACTAATATGAAATACACACACATATATATATAATGTGATTCTTTTTTTATTAATTAAGTTTTCAAAAATATGTTTTTCTTACATTTAATGATAATAATTTAATTTTAAAAGACATTTTATTCATACTAAAATAATTTAAATAAGATAATGCTTATACTATTTCAATATTGTGATAATTCAGGTATAAAATTTATATTTTTAATATTTCAAATGCCAAATTCAAGAAACTAGGATAATTTTGGAATCGGCACTAGGTAAAACTTACTTGCATCGAATATATATGTCCAATTAATATATTCATATCATATATTTTAAATTTATAATTTATTTAATTTAATCATAATTAATTAATATATATTTACTTCACTAAATCACTTGAAAAGTGTAAATTACGTTAATTTGATGTATATAGCCGTCCACACTTACAACACCGAGGTATGCGTTACTCCGAGTCTCCGACCAAAAGAGTGAAAGCCCTAGTGTTTTGGACCGGGTCGTGTCTATTGGGCTGAATGTATTGCCATTTATGAGCCCAATAAAAATTGTCTTATTCATTCATCTCTTTTATTTTCTTTTGAACTTTTTAGTTACTTCCCTTTTTTCTTCTCATTTTTATTGAATTTACTCAATGTTATGATTTTACTTTGTTTCTTACACTTTCTTTTCCCTCCCAAATTTTTCTCCCTAAATGAAATTCTAACATTTTTTTTACAAAAAACCTTGAATGGTTTGCTGTATTTTTATGTACAAGTCACCTAATCCCTCCTATGTGAATAAACACACGCACACAATTTTCATTCATTACTAAAATTCATTGTTTTCTCTCATTTTTTTTTTATAAAGATTTAAATCTATACGCTATTGGAATAAATAAATCTGCATACTATCAAGTCATTCAAATCATATTTACAAATAAATTTTCTGTGGACTTAGAACGTGAATATGATATCTGTCTAAAAATAAAATATTGTGATCATATTAGAATAAATTAAAATAATTTAATTGTTTTACGCTAGAACTTAATTTTATAATCGGTAGGCTGTAGCCGACATCCCTAATGGACAGCTGCACGCGAGGCTACAAGATAATATTATTCACCTTCATTTTTAATTATCATAATCCTATTATCTAAAGTTAAATATAATAATTTTAATTAGTATTTATAATATATTTATTTTATTATATTAATATATAAAAATTATAAATTATAACATTCTTTACATAATTTTTTAAATATTTAATTAAAAAATTAAATTAATATAATATAATTTAATTTTTAGAAAACTCAAAAAAGAAAGTAGGACAAAAGACTCCACGACATTGGAAACATAACAATCAATTGTGCAGCAGAAACCCATGCAGATTAGTTTAGTGCATATGTAAGCCCTTACATCATTAACTTAACATTAATTAATTTTTAAATTTAAATATATTACATTCACGTGATATACGTGAATATTTAAACAAACAATATAATTTGATATTTAACAAAATGTATATACGTACAAATTGTACAGAAAATACTATACATAGTACAATATTTTACATATTAATAGAAAATATATCGTAAAATATTAGTTAAATTTTTTGTATCATTTGATTCTAAAAAAGAAAACTATGATAACTAGAAGTGAATGAAAGAAGTATATAGAAAGATAATTTTACTATATTATATTTGAGTATAATAAATTCAGTATTATAAAAAGTCAAATTTGATGTTTTAATTTACAAGACACAACAAATATTTTACAATGATGTTTTTTTATCATATCAATATACAAAAATATTGCTATTAATGATATTTTCGTAGTGTTTTTGAATATCTAATTTCAAATTAACTTTCTAAAAATGCTATGTGGTGGGCGAATACTAACTACTTTGCGAGGAATATGTCAATGTCTATACTGGACGAAAAGAATACTTATATAAACACCTTTCTTGTTTCTTCATTTACTACTAAAAATCATTTAACAATACAGATATTTCAGTTCAGTTCTTACTAAAAATGGCTTGTGAGTCAAGATTAGAAGAGCTAAATTTTGTTTTGGTACCATTACTTGCTGTAAGTCACATCATACCCATGGTAGACATTGCCAAATTGTTAGCACAAAGAGGCGTGATTGTCACTTTAGTCATGACGCCTCTTAATGCTATGCGATTTACTGCAGCAATTGATCGCGCCATTGATTCTGGACTCCTCATTCGGGTACTTCATCTCCGTTTTCCAGCCAAGGAAGCGGGATTGCCTGAGGGATGTGAAAGTGTCGATCTTCTCCCCGGTCTAGCTTATCGAAGAAATTTTTTTACTGCAATTGATATGTTACAAGACCAAGCTGAAAAATTGCTTCAAGAGATTCAGCCTAAGCCGAGTTGCATTATTTCCGATATGCATATTGCTTGGACAGCTGAAACAGCTGATAAGTTTCAGATTCCGAGAATTATTTTTGATGGAATGAGTTGTTTCAATCAGTTGTGTATGCATAATTTGTATATCATGAAGGATCAAAACAGAATCCCTGAATCAGGGCATTTTGTGATCCCTGATTTGCCTGATACAATTGAAGTAACTAAAGTTCAGCTACCTGGAGCGTTTAATCCCCCGCCACTTCACGTGCAAGACTTTCGAGACAAAATACGAGCAGCTGAAATAAGTGCCTATGGGGTTATAATCAATACTTTTGCGGAGTTGGAAGAAAATTATGTTGATGAATTCAGAAAACTTAAAAATGGTAGAGCTTGGTGTGTAGGTCCTTTGTCTCTCTGTAACAATGAGAGTCTAGATAAAGCGCAGAGAGGGAATATGACGTCATTTGACGAAGAGGAACGTTTGAAGAAATGGCTTGATTCATGGCAGCCTGAGTCTGTTGTGTATGCGTGTTTGGGAAGCCTTAGTCAGACCACAGTTGTACAGTTTGCGGAGCTGGCTTTAGGCCTGGAAGCATCAGGTTATCCGTTTATTTTAGTCGTAAAATCAGGGGAAAGACAAGCACCAATAGAGGAATGGATATCGGAAAATGGATTTGAAGAAAGAATAAAAGAGAGAGGGCTTTTGATCCGGGGCTGGGCACCACAAGTAGTAATTCTATCACACCCTGCGATTGGTGGGTTCTTGACTCATTGTGGTTGGAATTCGTCCCTTGAAGGGATTAGTGCTGGTGTGCCTATGATCACTTGGCCTTTATTCGCGGAGCAGTTTTTAAACGAGAGATTTTTAGTACATGTCTTGAAGACGGGCGTGAGTGTTGGATCTCAGGAAGTTGTGCATTTCGGTGAGGAAGAGAAATATGAAGTCCAAGTGAGCAAAGAAGAAGTGACGAAAGCCATAAAAGAAGTGATGGACAAAGAGAAAAAAGCAAATAATAGGAGAATAAGAGCCAAAGAAGTTAGAGAAATGGCAAAAAAAGCTATAGAAGAAGGTGGATCTTCTCATCTCAGTTTGACACTACTAATCAAAGAAGTACAAGAATTCAACTAAACCAATTAGCTTAAAATGATTATGCACAAGCACGCAGTGTACTTTCTTTGATTTTTATGTTTTTGGTAGCGCAAGCGAAATCAGGGAAGGGATTAGAAAGTGAAGAATCAAACCCTCACAGGTGAAATTCAGACAACCAATCAACTGAACTACTAAGATTCCCCAATTATTTTTGTACACGAATACGACAAGACACAGTTATATATTAATTTTGCCAGTTTCAACTTTCAACAATGAGTTTTATATTAAGTATAATTAAGTGATTGGTGACTGTATTGCCACATAAAAGGAAGTGTTGTCTCATAATGTAGTTTGCCAAAATTCAACACGCATTACAACATATCCCAATTAAGTAAATCTTACTGGTGCTCGTTCAACTTTGTTAGCTGACTTATCTCATGAAATGTCGAGTTGCATATGGTCAGAATTTCTTGATAACTTATATAATTGCTCGAAGTGCCGTAATGGACTACTACACTTGAGGCTACAAGATTAACTTAGTGCAGATTAATTTAATGCAGATGTAAGCCCTTACATCATAACATTAAGAAGTACTAACACTACTAATATAATATAAAAGTACATTTTATCTTTCTTCATTTGCAACTGAATCATATTAAAGATGGTTACAGAAACAGAGTTAAACTTTGTTTTGATACCATTACTTGCTGCAAGTCACATCATACCCATGGTGGACATGGCAAAACTGTTAGCAGGGAGAGGCGTTACTGTCACTCTAGTCATGACGCCCCTCAATGCTATCCGATTCACTGCAGTAATTGATCGTGTCATTGGTTCTGGACTACTCATTCGGGTACTTGAACTCCAGTTTCCAGCCAAGGAAGTAGGACTGCCTGAGGGATGTGAAAGTGCGGATCTTCTGCCAGCTCTAGCCTTTCGAAGAAATTTCTTTGCTGCAATTGATATGCTACAAGACCAAGCTGAAAAATTGCTTGAACAGATGAAGCCTAAGCCAAGTTGTATTATTTGTGATACTCATATTGCTTGGACAGCTGAGACAGCTGATAAGTTTCAGATTCCAAGAATTATTTTTGATGGAATGAGTTGTTTCACTCAATTATGTATGCATAATTTGTACGTCATGAAGGATAAAAACGAAATTCCTGAATCAGGGCCTTTTGTCATCCCTGATCTGCCTGATAGAATTGAAGTAAGCAAAGGTCAGCTGCCTGGAGCATTCAATCCAGGAAAACATTGCATACAAGATATTCGAGACAAAATACGAGCAGCTGAAACAAGAGCCTATGGGGTTGTAATCAATACTTTCGAGGAGTTGGAAGAAAGGTACGTTGATGAATTCCGAAAACTTAGAAATGGAAGAGTTTGGTGTATTGGACCTTTGTCTCTATGTAACAATGACAATCTAGATAAAGCTCAGAGAGGGAATAAGACGTCAGTTGACAAGGAGGACAGTCTAAACAAATGGCTTGATTCTTGGCAGCCTGAGTCTGTTGTCTATGCATGTCTTGGGAGTCTCGGCCGTATTACAATTGTACAATTTGTTGAGCTAGCTTTAGGCCTGGAAGAATCAGGTTGTCCATTCATTTTAGTCATAAAAACAGGGGAAGGACAAGCACCAATAGAGGACTGGATATTGAAAAATAGATTTGAGAAAAGAACAAAAGAAAGAGGGCTTTTGATCCGTGGCTGGGCACCACAAGTATTGATCCTATCACATCCTGCGATTGGAGGGTTCTTAACTCATTGTGGTTGGAATTCGACCCTCGAGGGGATCACTGCTAATGTGCCTATGATCACTTGGCCTTTATTTTCCGAACAGTTTCTGAACGAGAGATTCTTAGTGCATGTCTTAAAAACAGGTGTGAGTGTTGGATGTCAAGGAGTTATGCATTTGGGAGAGGAAGAGAAACCTGAAGTCCAAGTGAACAAAGAAGAAGTGACTAAAGCCATTAAAAAAGTGATGAACAAAGAGAAAGAAGGAAACGATAGGAGAAAAAGAGCCAAAGAAGTTGGACAAATTGCAAAAAAGGCAATAGAAAATGATGGATCTTCTCATCTTAGTTTAATACTTCTAATCAAAGAAATACAAGAATTCCAACTCAACAAATCTTGAATTGAAAATGCACTAGTAGTATGGAATGTACTTCTTTGAGAATTATAGTGTGTTATACTGTTCAACAATTTGTTTGAGCCCACAAGTTACTTGTGTGGTCTTAAGAAAATTATAACCGCGGCCATACAAATTACAGAACTCCAACAAACTCAAATGGCATAGCAATGAATATAAGCACAAAAATTCTCCTCTTCATTACCATGACTCAATAATTGATATAGCAAGTCCCCTTCTAAAATGAAATGTACTGCCTGGCAATTATTGGATTTCTCTCACCTCTACACATGTTACACGAAATTCTGACTGTTAATGGGACTTGTCTTTCATTTTGCTCCTTTTTTCCTAACTTTAACATCATATAAATAACCAATTCTTTATCATGTCATGAGCGTCTAAATGACATAATAACTCTTCACAAATATGTGGTGAAGAGTTTTCTGAGGTGTAGAATTGGCACTTAAATATTAACTGCTGGAGTTTGATGGATATCAAAAGTACTCATTTTTTGAAAAACTTGAAGGAGCAAAACTACTCAACAAACTATAGCCTTTTCAGTTCTTATTGAGTAAAGATGACAACAGTGCCAGCATTAGCAGAGCTAAACTTTGTTGTGATACCTTTACTTTCTACAAGTCACCTCATACCCCTGGCGGACATGGCTAAATTGTTAGCGCAGCAAGGAGTGACAGTCACGTTAGTCACGATAGCTCTAAATGCCGCCAGATTCACTGCAGCGATTGATCGTGCCATTCATTCTGGACTCCTCATTCGGGTAGTGGAGCTCGAGTTTAACGGTAAGGAAGCAGGACTGCCAGAGGGGTGTGAAAACCATAACGATGTGCCTGGTCTGAACTATCGAAGACAGTTCTTTGCTGCAATTGATATGCTGCAAGAACAGGCTGAAAAATTACTTGAAGAGATGAAGCCTAAACCGAGTTGCATTATTTCTGATGCATATGTTGCTTGGACAGCTGATACAGCTGATAAGTTTCAGATTCCAAGAATTGTTTTTGATGGAATGAGTTGTTTTACCCAAATGTGTATGCATAATATGTACATTTTGAGGGATCAAAACAAAATTCCTGAATCAGGGACTTTTGTCATACCTGATTTGCCAGATAGAATTGAAGTCACAAAAGCTCAGCTGCCTCCACATTTCAATCCTGCAGGAGCAGTTTTCATACAAGATATTCATGACAAAATAAGAGTGTTAGGATCGAAAATAAGCAGGTGTAAACGCGGAAGCTAGCAAAATAAACCTTGAAAGATCATGAGTAAGAAGACAAACGAGAAATATATTAAAAGACACAATTTAACGTGGTTCGGTCAATCAATCTACGTTCACAAAGGAAATTAGCAATTCACTATAAATAGGAGAGTACAAATACAGAGGTAAACAACCTCAACCAAATTCACTCAGAATACATGGGAGGTTCATACAAGTGATAACGTATCAATCTTGTGACCCACAATTTCTCCTCCTAACCAAAACTCTCAAAGGCATTAAGAGTATAATGTGAATGCTGATTAAGTTAGAAAGAACATTCATCTTAAACCTTTTTCTACAAAAAAGAATTAGTGAATCCAAAACCTTTTACTAAAAGGAAAACCTATTTATGGTAAGAAATCAGAACAAATAAAACCCAACACAGCTAAAAAAGAGCATATGGGGTTGTGATCAATACTTTCGAGGAGTTGGAACAAAGGTATGTAGACAAATTCTGAAAACTTAAAAATGGTAGAGTTTGGTGCATTGGAACTTTATCTCTTTATAACCATGACAATCTTGATAAATTTCAGAGAGGGAATAAGGCTTCGTTTGACCAAGAGGACAGTTTGAAGAAATGGCTTGATTCTTGGGAGCCTGAGACTTTTGTGTATGCCTGTTTTGGCAGCCTCGGTCGTTGTGCAGAAATACAATTTGTGGAGCTTGCTTTAGGCCTAGAAGCATCAGGTTATCCATTCATTTTAGTCATAAAAACAGGGAAAGGACAAGCACCAATTGAGGAGTGGATTTGAGGAAAGAACAAAAGAAAGAGGGCTTTTCATACGCGGGATGGTCACCACAAGTACTAATTCTATCACACCCTGACTCATTGTGGTTGGAATTCAACTGTCGAAGGGATTAGTGTTGGTGTACCTTTAATCACATGGCCTTTATTCGCGGAGCAGTTTCTTAATGAGAAGTTATTAGTACAAGCATTGAAGATTGCTGCGGGTGTTGAATCTTGATCCAAGGAATACTTGATCCTTTGTTTGTTTAGTAGTTCAAAGTATGTATGTTTGTAATTACCCAGAAATTTCAATTTCAACTTTTATTCACACAAGACTTCAAACTACAAAAGACAACAACAGTAAAGATAGTCAGAACGCCCTTCGTTGAAAAATTATATCGAATATATAGGCAAAATATAATCTAATATCTAGATATATTATAAATTGAACACTCTTCACATAACAAAGACAAACAATCTAGTGGTAAAGACAGAAATTTTAATTATTTAATTATTGTGCACCTACTCTATCGGTTATGTTCTCCCAGATTTTCAAGTTGCACCAACTCAAAATTCACATCACTGCCTATCTAGATCCCGGAAAGAATCAAAAGGATAATATTGACAAATTACGCTTTAATTAATTAATGTCTTTAAATATCTTTATTAAAAGGTGTGTCATGTCCCAACAATCCATTTATCTAGGACTAATTAGAGTCGTTAATTTGAACTACGTCGATCGATTGAGTAGAGTTGAACTAAGATTTTTGAAGCCTATTTAAAAGGGAAAAGGGTTGTATTTGCCCTTATACTCTTAGAAAAGGATCATACTTGCCTTTCGTCATACTTTTTTGATATATTTACCTTTGTCATCAAACTTTAAAGCCATATTAATCCTCCTTCCATTAAATCTCCATATTTTACTTAATATCTTTTATGTTGTGCCTATGTGGGTTTTATTTTTATCTAATTAAATCAAAATATTATTATATTCATTTAAACCCACCCTCATTAAATTAAACCCCATCCACCAATGAACCCAGGAACAAATCTTTAACTATCATGGTTTTGGGCTTTATATTTATATGGGACAGATGGGTTAATGTAATTGTAATCGAAAAATCAAAATACCATCGGAGCTTTCACCATTGATAGCTACCAAAAACCAACTTAAATCACTCATTCCATTGTTGAACCACGCTTCACATTTTTTACGTCTGAAATAATCGAGAAGACAAAACACATGTAAAATGTTTGTGAAATTTTAC